AAAATTTTCATATTTTAACCTAGAAAACTAATTGAAATTATCTTTCTAATGCCACAAATTTCATGTAAAACGGAGTTGGGATGAATTTTATAAAAATTGTCAAACTTGCTGCCCAACTAATCTTGATAGTGCCGAGGCCGTATATGTAATGTATAATTTCATGTTGGCATGCACTTTTACCGGCCATCAAATTTTATAAGAATTGTTTTACCAAATTGAAAATAAGTTTCTAACATGTAATACTTCTATTTAAGAGTATTTACATGTACCAAAGGCAGAAGTTACCATGTTTAGTACCTGACCCTCGAAGCTTAAGTTCGGGGTGTCACAATTACCCCGTTGGATAGTTTAAATTACAAACAGTTTTTCCATCCAATTGACACATGACAACAATGCATGGGTCAAACTACGTGTCAAAAATTAGGGTACAAATAGCAAAGTTCAATCGGTAAGAATCTTGCTACATGTACACTATGGTGTACACTTCAGTTTACATTTTACCACGTGACATTACCTTGTTGGAAAATTTAAATTTCAAATAGTTGCCCCATCCAATGGACACTTGACAACAATGCAAGTGTCGAACAACGTATCAAAAATCAGTGCACAAATAGCAAAGTTCAATGGTAAGAACTTGCTACAAGTACAATATGGAGTACACTTTAGTTTACACTTTGCCACGTGACATTACCCTGTTGGACAGTTTAAATTTCAAACAGTTTTCACATCCAATTGACACTTGACAACAATGCAAGTGTCAAAAATCAGTGCTCAAATAGCAAAGTTTAATCGGTAAGAACCTTGCTACATGTACACTATGGTGTACACACTTTAATTTACACTTTGCAACGTGACATTACTCTACTGGAAAGTTTAAATTTCATACAGTTTTCCCATCCAATTGACACTTGACAACAACGCAAGTGTCAAAACAACGTGTCAAAAATCAGTGTATAAATAACAAAGTTCAATCGGTAAGAACCTTGCTACATGTATACTATGATATACACTTTAGTTTACAGTTTACCACGTGACATTACCCTGTTTGAAAGTTTAAATTTCAAATAATTTTCCCATCAAATTGACACTTGACAACAATGCAAGTGTCAATCAGTGTGTCAAAAATCAGTATACAAATAACAAAGTTCAATCGGTAAGGACCTTGCTACATGCACACTATGATGTACACGTTAGTTTACACTTCGCCAGATGACATTACCCTATTGGACATTTTAAATTTCAAATAGTTTTCCCATCCTATTGACACTTCACAACAATGCAAGTGTTAAACAACGTGTCAAAAATCAATGTACAAATAGTAACGTTCATTCGGTAAGAACTTGCTTCATGTACACTATGTAGTACACTTTAGTTTACATTTTACCACATGACATTATCTTGTTGGAGAGTTTAAATTTCAAATAGTATTCCCAATCCAATTGACACTTGACAACAATGCAAGTGTCTAATAACGTGTCGAAAATTAGTATACAAATAGCAAAGTTCAATCAGTAAGAACGTTGCTATTTGTACACTATGGTGTACACTTTAGTTTACATTTTACCACGTGACATTACCCTGTTGGACAGCTTAAATTTCAAACAGTTTTCCCATCCAATTGACACTTGACAACAATGCATGTGTCAAACAACGTGTCAAAAATCAGGGTACAAATAGCTAAATTCAATCGGTAAGAATCTTGCTACATGTACACTATTGTGTACAGTTTAGTTTACATTTTACCACGTGACATTACCCCATTGGAAAGTTTAAATTTCAAACAGTTGTCCCATCCAATTGACACTTGACAACAATGCAAGTGTCAAACAACGTATCAAAAATCAGCGCACAGATTGCAAAGTTAAAATGGTAAGAACTTGTTACATGTACACTACGGAGTACACTTTAGTTTACACGTTGCCACGTGACATTACCCTATTAGACAGTTTAAATTTTTAACAATTTTCACATCCAATTGACACTTGACAACAACGCAAGTGTCAAACAACGTGTCAAAAATTAGTATACAAATAGCAAAGTTCAATCGGTAAGGACTTTGCTACATGTACTCTATGGTATACACTTTAGTTTACACTTTGCCACATGACATTACCCTATTGGACAGATTAAATTTCAAATAGTTTTCCCAACGGCAACAATGCAAGAGTCAAACAACATGTCAAAAATCAGTGTACAAATAACAATGTTCAATCGGTAAGAACCTTGTGACATGTTCACTATGGTGTACACACTTTAGTTTACACTTTGCCACGTGACATTTCCCCACTGGGCAATTTTAATTTCAAATAGTTTTCCCAGCCAATTGACACCTAATAGCAATGCAAGTGTCAAACAACGTGTCAAAAATTAGGGTACAAATAGAAAAGTTCAATTGGAAAGAACCTTGCTACAAGTACACTATGGTATACACTTTAGTTTACACTTTGCCACGTGACATTACCCCTTTGGACAATTTAAATTTCAAATAGTTTTCCCATCCAATTGACACTTGACAACAATGCAAGTGTCAAACAACGTGTCAAAAGTTAGTGTACAAATAGCAAAGTTCAATTGGTAAGGACCTTGCTACATGTACACTGTGGTGTACAATACCCTGTTGGACAGCTTAAATTTCAAACTTTTTCCCATCCAATTGACACTTGACAACAATGCTAGTGCCAAACGACATGTTAAAAATAAGTGTACAAATAGCAAAGTTCAATCGATAAGAACTTGCTACATGTACACTATGGAGTACACTTTAGTTTACACTTTATTTCGTGACATTACCCTGTTGGATAGTTTAAATTTCAAGTAGTTTTCCCATCCTATTGACACTTGAGAACAATGCGAGTGTCAAACAACGTGTCAAAAATCAGTGTACAAATAGCAAAGTTCAATTGGTAAAGACCTTGTTACATGTACACTATAGTGTGCACTTTACTTTACACCTTGCCACGTGACATTACCTTGTTGGACAGCTTAAATTTCTAATAGTTTTCTCATCCAATTGACACTTTGACAACAACGCAAGTGCCAAACAACGGAACGCCCCAATTTTTCTTTCCTTTACATTAAACACCGGAACGTTACGAAAACTCATTTTTCTTTAATTTAAAAATGCGAAACTATATAAATTCTTCAATAAACAAATAATTGTAACGTTTAAATTAAAATTATTGAAAGCGTATCTAACCATAAACATAAACTCCTAAGTAATTCAAATAATGCGTTCTAAATTAAAATAGACAAATTGCTAAATTTAAAATGGCAAACTTATTTCTTTTTCTCTATTCTTTATCCACTTCGTAGTCCGCATCACTAATTCTCCACTGTTCCAATCGACCCGAACTAATCTGTAAAATTAATGTAAGAGTGAGTATTAAAAATACCCAGTAAGATACGTGCAAATTTCCATATACAATTACATAACAAATAAAATCTACACTTCATACCGCTCTTTTTTTATGGAGTATATCGGTGACCAAGCGACACACCCATCTTAGGTCCTCTTAATTTCCATGTAGGAATTTCATATCTCTTTCTCTAGAACCCGAAGGTCCACTAGCATTCCATGCATATTTAATCGCATATAAGAGCATAAGGAAACGTAAACACTTTACACATAAATGTATCTTACCTCGTTGAATCTACAGTATGTTGAAAATCGTTCCTCCGCTTTGAAAGTATGTGATTAAAATACTCGATGTATGAAATTCTATTTCTAATGCTGCTTTCTGTCTTCCTTTTTCTCTCTCTCTCTCTCTTTTATCTTTCTCTTTCTCTATTTCACGTGTGAATTTTTGGTGTGGTAAAATGTGGGATTCTAGCCTACTATTTATAGGTGTAGACTAGAGTAGAAGATAAGTCTTATCCTAACCAAAGGATTTTTACTTGATTTGTACTAGGCCTTTTTGTTGTTATCAAAAAGAAATTAGAGAGTTGGTTTGTTATCCAATGCATGCCAACGTGCAGAAACATGATAGCTAAATGAGACATCAACTTTTCAAACTCAAATATGATTACATCAAAGATATCTTCTATCATAAATTCTGAAATCGGCAGCCAGCTTTTGACTTTGTTTAATATATTCATTCTTTATACACATACATAACTGTTTTGAAAAATCATCTAAATTCAAATGAGTTTGAGACTATCTACAATACTATATTTGCAAATAGAAAATTTATTTGCCATCACTTATCTATTATAATAAATGCTCCAAAGTAATTAAAATTCTATCTTATTTTAATAAATATTATGTTTAAACAAAAGGTAGCCTAATTAATCAGCACTGCCTAGAATATTTAATTAAAGGGAATTATATTAATTCCTAATTCTATTTAATCTTGTTTCATTATTCCATGACGGCCTTTCCCGTAAAATGCCTCAATCTAGTATAATCTACAGTTATTTTTCCCTTATCTAAACATCATGTGGAGTCTATCAACTCATAAAGTCAAGTAATTAAATAATACTAAAATAATCAATCCCTAAAATCAAGGAAACCTAACCTTCTTTTTCTCCAAAATCAAAGCAAATAATTATTAAAATAAACCTACTTCTTTTTATTCATAACCATTTCTATACGTACACACCATACAAAATCAAGACAATTCCATGTACACGTGTCAACACCACATCTTCCTTCCAAGTTTTAATTGAATTTGAAAACCAATTTCTTCAAATCGAAATTTCTTGGTGCTGGGTTATCCAAATCGACTATTTCTCGAGCCTAAAATTTATAATTAAATACTGGCTATCCAACGAGTATAATATTAATATACTTATATTTACTCTATCGAAATTTAATTATTTGACTCAAAGTATAAGAATTTAAAATGTATTACCTCTTAGTCCCTCAACTTTTGAAATAATATAATATAGATATTAAATAAATTTTTATCAAAAAAAAATTATTATTATTATTATTATTTTGGGATGTTACAATCTCACCCCCTTCAAATAATTTCGTCCTCGAAATTACCTGCATTCGGGTCCTATGTTGTCTGTTCCTGGGTTAAAGCAAAAATTCGGGCATTTCCCTTCTTTTCTTGTTCATCATTCTTCTTCAAGGGATTTTCTTTGCAATTTTTGATAATATGCCCTGTTTTACCGCATCGATAGCACACATGCTTCCCAAACAAACATTCACCACTATGCATTTTATTGCACTTTTGACAGGGTGGAATGGCTTGTCCAAAACTTGATCCAAAGTTAATCTTTTTGTTCTGTCCCTCTCCCTTCCCTTCATTGGACCCATTCCACTTCCTCTTTCCTGATAACTCGGTCCCTTGCTGTGGAATTTGATCCATTTCCAACCTATTTGAGATTGCTTGGGCAGTTTGCAAAACGCACCTATAGGTGGTGAATTGGTGGGATGCCATTATTCCACCAATCTCAGGACGCAATCCAAGTTCGAACCTCCTTGCTTTCTTTGCTTCAATATCCACTAGGTGTGGTGCATATCTTGAGAGTTGTTCGAATTTTCTTTCATATTCTTCAAGTTTCGTCTTTCCTTGTCTGAGTTGAAGCAATTCTGTCTCCTTGCGATCCCTCAGGGCTTGTGGGAAGTATTTTCCCATCATTTCCTCCTTAAATTGCGTCCAAGTCAGAGCACGTTGTTGTGCTTCTGTTCTAGTGTGAGATGCTGACTCCCACTAATGGCCTGCCGCGTCAACCAACATAAATTCTGCACATAACACCTTTTGAGCATCAGTGCAAGATAGATGTTTGAAGATTCGCTCCATTCCTCTTATCCATTCTTCAGCTGCTAGTGGGTTTGCCTTGCCATCGAAGGTTGGGGGTTTGTAGCAAGGGAACTGTTCCACGATTGAGCTGGTGTTGTTAGCGTTTGTACCACGGGGCCCACCCTATGCTTGTTGCCTACCCAAATCTTGTACCGCCCTTAGCAAATCTCTGATGATCGTACCTTGATTTTGTTGTTGTCTCGACATTTTCTTAACACAAATAAAATTTTAATTTAGGGAAAAAAAATTGGTAAAACACTTCTAATATCTTTGTAACAACGAAGAATTTAATATAATTTCCAAATCCTTAAATAAAAAAAATTTGCTCTTCAAAAAATCAAATAAATAAATAAATAATCCAACTTTTCCTAAGAAAATAAATAAAACTTATCCCTAATCTAGAATCTTCTTTTTATGTCGTCTCATCATCCGAAGTAATGCATGACTCGGGCTCGAAATCCATAACCAAATCAATGAAATTTTGTGGTTGGACTTCTTGCTCAGGGTCTTCTGGCTCTAGTTCGATCTCCTCCTCTGGGTCTTCCTCCGGCTCTGGCTCTAGCTCCGGCTCCGGCTCCAACTCCGGCTCCGGCTCCGGCTCTGACTCCGGTTCGGGTTCGGGCGCTGGTGCTTGTTGTCTATGGTTCCATAAAATTATGATATCTTCACAGTATTCTTTAAAATCAATCTTATCCCAATCTTCTTCCAAATATAAATCATAATCCATGTCCCTCACGAAATAAGCCACGTCTCTCCATTGAGGTCGCATAGTGCTTATAAGGTGATATATCGAAAGGATTGTCCCCTCATTATATCCAAATGACCTTGCTCGCTCCCACTTAGAAAGGAAATCTTCAACATGTTCAACAAAAGTTCTCTCCCATCTCACTTCAAATTTATGTAGTTCTCAATGGCCATTTCAGCACGCTGGAGGTACGTTGGGCTATTCCTAGTCATCCTA